CATTCCAGACGGGTTTAGATCTTGAACCTGCCGTCTTTAGACAGAAATTGACCTTGAGACGAGCCAACCAGTAAAACCAAGATGAGATCAGTAAAAACGATGAAAAGCAAACAAACAGCTGCTCTATTGGGTTCCTCAGAGGGAAAAAGGATGGCTAAAATTGTGGGGTTGGTAAGATTTTTCAATGCTTTTAAAAGACATCTCATATGTTCACCAAGGCTGCATTGATTTGATGGAAAATACAGTAAAAGCAGCAATATTGTAAAATATTTTTACAATTTAAAATAACTGTTTTCTATTTGAATACACTTTTTTTTTAAATAACTTGTTCTTCTGGTGCAAAGCTGAACAGCCATTACTCCAGTCTTCTACTCCAGTGTCACATGATAATTTAGGAATCCCTCAAATTACAAATGAACATCTGTTTTCTGGATCTCTGGATCTCAAAGCTGTGAGAGAGGGTGGAGATTTGTAAATTATGAATCACCTAAATGGTTGAACATTCATGATGGGGGAAAACTCACCCCATGGTGTTGAAGTCGTCATCAGGAGGTACGTAATCCTCATCATCACTGGTTAGACCCAGTTCATTCCCATAACACTGATGGACAAAGTGCCACAGCTCTTTGGGACACAATGGCTAGATAAAAACGAGACACACAGTGGGTGAACATGGCCACCAAACATTTGTTTTCAACAGATCATAGGATATAACGCCATGTCTTGTCTAACCTTGTCCAGAAGAGCATTTTGCCAGAGTCTGAACATCATCATGTATGTCCGATCTCTTGCCCCGAATGAGGTAAAAAAGTGCTGGAGGAGAATATGTGAATGTTTAGTGTTGGTACACTACTGGTGATATGTCAGTCAAAAGTCAAAGGCCTGTGTTTACCTTTTCACTGTCTGTACACAGCTGGATGGCATTGGGAATGAGTCTAGCCGTCTTCTCTTTCGTCATGGAGCAAACATCTTTCAACCTCACAGTCAGCTACACGCACAAGACAACAAACTCTATCACTCTATTGCCAGAGCTAAAAAGACAAATAAAGTGCTACATCTTCAAAAGAAGGGCAGAAATGTGATTTTTGTGCAAAATTAGCTGCTTTCCCTGACACAGCTTTGCTGATCCAGCTGTGAAAGACTGATACCCTCTGAGATGAGAGTAATTCATCAACTCACCAGCGTTTCCCAGCGGAATATGTTGCTATAGAAACAGATCCAGTTTTCGGAGAGGTAGAGGCGACCCTGCAGGAGGATATCTCTCTGCAGGGCACAGGAGTAGTCTGTCAGGATGAGGTCACAGGTTTGAGGTTAAGACATACCAGCCAGTTTCATACATGAAACTTTTCCATTGTGTCCAATCACACACCAAAAATATAGTAGGCTACCACTGGTTAGAAAAAAATAGTGGATTTCAGTCTTTTATGAAAGCTGTAAAAACTATAATACCTATTACATCGCAGCATAAAGATCAAATAAGACTCACCCACAATCAGGCGCTCTGTGTCGGGAAGCTGCTTAAAGAGCTTCCTGAAGTCTTCATTTCGCTGTTTGTATGTGGGGCTCAAAACCTGAGAGACAAGAGGAAAGAGAGAATGAGACCAGTTATATACAACACACATAAACACACAGCCACAAACATCCAAAAAGAAACAGTCAAAACATTCAGCATTTCCAAGATGGTACAAGACCTCATTTGCTAGAGACAAACTGTAAAGGGTCATTCTACAAAACAGGTGCCATTAAATAATAATAAGTAAATAAAATAAAAAAATGCATAATTATATAAATTACATTTAAAACATAAAAGTTAATGAAAATAAAATAAAATGTTATATATACATATAAATTTTTATTTTATTTGTATAAAATATATACTATATATATATTTTTTTACTTGCGTTTTGTTGTGTTTGTAAAACTGACAGCCTGGTTCACAGAACAACCCCTCCCCCCATTAAAAAATATGAATAAATATATTTTTACTGGGCTTCATCATCTACACCAAGGTACTGATCAGTACATCAGTCCCTCTGCAGTCCTGTCCTGACTGTAACAGTTTGTGAGATGTTCATGATCTAACATAACCAAAGCCAAGCAAAAGGACGCTTCTCTTCTCTTCTGCTCTCTGATTAGTTGCTTACAGCAGGAACGCTCTCGAAATCTAAGTCCCAGTCCGTCCAATCACACGGGGGCACTTCGGGCTGTTGGACTGCCTCCCAGTCGTAGAGCCAATCAGTCTCCGCCTCAAAACTGAGGATTTCCATCGCTCTTGTCCAGTTGTGGAGACTTTGCCACTTATTGTCTCAGCTCCTGACAGTGGTGCAAAGCTTCACAGCATATGTGCTGACCTCCAGTCCAGCTTCACCAGGCCACACTCTGAAATGACCTGGAGTAACCTCAGCAACTTATTAGCGTTACTTATTCTGTTGTTTAAGTGAGTCTCAGCACCTCAACGCCAGCCAAACAATCCTCTACAGACAGCAGGAGAACTCCTCACATTGATAGACACACATCGCTCTTGAAAATGGAGTATGTTTTCCTCAGGAAATGAGTCCAATTTTTAACAAGACACAGAGGACAGTTAGTGGTAACATGTAGCAATGTTCGTTCCTTGGAATTGATCACCTGACGCTCTCGAAATGGAAATGTTCCTTGCAGCTGCTCTCTTCTTGTTTTAGAGTTTACTCCTGCTGATCCACTAAATTTACAAAATACAAGAAGCAGTTTCAGATCCAGCCAATAACAGGAACGTTGCCACTTTACAATGTTTCGGATCCAAATGGTTCATGAAGGTTTTCCAATACGGTTATCTAATAGGAACATTTGCATGAAAAAATAAATTCTGGCAAGAAAAACAAAACTGTGAGACTGTTGTCCTAGAAATATCCAGAGGCAAACATCTATTTACACAAATCCAAAAACAGAAAAGTGCTTGAGGAACCCCCAAAAAACAACCACCTGTTGGGATAAAAACTCTCTTCTCTTCAGACAAAAATACTGTATTTTTTTCTTTCAAAATTCTTTCTTCAGCATGCATAGTCAAAATGACACACATTAATATCCTTGCAAGCCAAGATGCATTCATCAAGCGCTTTTGAGTAAATTTCTTCCCAGAGGATGTGAATTTTGTCTCAATAAATTTCACAGAATAACCATGTTGAGCTGAAGCAACCCTTTACTATGGCAGGAAAGAGTTCTACTGAGACTTTCTACAAAACAATTCTGCCAAGAGGAGTGGGAGTGGCCTGAGGGAATGTTTGTGTCTGAGAAACAGGGAGGGGGAGGAGCTAAGAAAGCCTGCTGGCCAATAGAATGCCAAAGAGAGGAGAGGGGAGGGGCCGTGTCAGATGTAGTAAGCTCATTGCTTCAGGCTGTACATTTTTCTCACTCATGATCGAAGAGCTGT